TTCAGAATTTCTCTGAGGAATCGAAAAGTGTCCTTTGTTTCGAATGAATTTTCTCTTCACTGGACAAAATGAAATAATGAATTAATTCGAAGAAATAGGTCTTTGAAATTAGTTTTATGTTGAATTTTTGATCTTTCATCTGAAATATAACGTTCCATAATCGTTCCTCAGATTAATTGTGCGAATATCTATTTGATTTTAAGTAGAATATTAATTCGTTCTATGATGGCAATAAATCGAAGTTAGTCATATCTATTTTATTGAATCATTATCTAGGAAATAATATAGCAATTTCTATCTTATCACATGTAAAGTAATTATTTTATCATCATTAGTTTCAATGGTGCATTTGAAATTCAGTCTTTACACTAACGAACTGGAATTAAATATATTATAGAACATTTGTATATGATAGATTTGGTGATGTGAGCAGCATTAATAAAGTTAAACATAAATGAAACAAAGACATAGCACTTTATTGGTTAATCAGTTTTATTTGAAATATTTAATATTGTCTATTTGTCAATTGGTATTGAGAAAGATAATTCACGGTTATTATGTGATTACTGTAACTGGTAAAACGATTGATAATAATAGCTGTTCCTTAGTTGCCAGCAAATATGTGATAATTTGAAACAAAATATGAAAAATAAAAAATAAGTAAAACTTTTTTTGGTGATAGTCATTAAGCTTATAAAAGTTTAATAATAACTAATTCTACCATTTATTGTTTTGCCGATTAGCTAAATCGTTAATATCTCATTACTGATTTGCGAGCTGTAGTGGCTCAGGGGAAAGAACGCTTGCCTTCCAATGAGGTGACCTGGCCTGAATCCCAATTTTGGCTGAAACGAATTTCGCACCCGGGTTACACCCCCCACAGGGCTGACGTAATATATCCTCAGTTGCATACAGATCATGGGTGAGAGTCCTCTTGCCACCAGGTTGTCCTTGGAAAGTGTTCAAGTTTTTCCTCTCCATGTAACGCGAATGCGGGTTGGTTCCTTCGAAAATTCACCCACGAAGGCTAATTTCACCCAACACTTGACCCAGGAATTCCCTTGTCTTCTGAATTGGGTTCAAAATTAGAATGCTACGGAGTTGAACATCAACAGTCGTAAAATCAAAAATTGGTTTGGTTTTGCGATGATGGTTATAAAGTTGTCGTTTATTCTTAAGTCACTTGCCAGTGCCACCAAGCCTGCCTGATGAAACCAAGCGAATTTAAGGCAGAGGGTATACGTTTCTTGTTTATAAGTTCAGCCAACAAAGAACAAGAATACGATTTCAGCCACACACATGTCACAGCCCGATTTAGGCAGGATTATGCCTTACGATTATAAAGTAAAATTATTGATTCATCCATTTAAGGACATTCTAAACTCTTCCGTTTTCGGAAAGATTCGTTAATCCATTGAGTCACTCATTTATTGATTCCTCTATTCACTATTATTCATTGATTTACAGATTTTCTTACTATGCCGATTAATTCTTTCACAGAACGGCGGATATCAGAGAATTGAAATATAATACTGATTTGCAATTCTGACTGATATTGTTAAATAAATATGAGAAAATATCATTAATAGGCTATTTCGCTGAATCAATAATAAAAATAATTTTTAAAATTATTTTACGCTCTACTGTTTAGAATATTGGAGCCATATTTTCCAGACTAAGGGCTGCATCTCATATTTTTTATTTTGATAGAGCATTTTTATGTCTGAAATAGCACATATTATGTTAAGGCCTGGATCATTTTCCGGTTGGGTGAAAATCCCATCATTAGATCAAAAGGTACTTAGGCTCGATATTGGCTCAAGCTTGCAGCACTCTACTGTCAATAGTATGTGATCAATTCAAACAACTCTCAAAATACTTTATTGTATATATATATACTTAAAAGCTAAATTTTACCGATCACATATGGGAAAATATAAATGTGGAGTTTTCTAAGACCTAAATATATATAGAGAAAAAGAGACCAGCCTTAAAGTTCTCAGAAACTCTAATCCTATCGTAAAATTCTTTTTATGGCGGCATCGGTTTTCCTTCGTCGCAGAAAACAACTTTCAAACACGACGAGGAAGTATTAACCTAAACAAAAAGAAATACTAATCCATTAAGCGAAGAAAAACCGAATGTGAGAAGATTAGTTGGGTCTTGACTTTAAGAGCAAATGATTAAAGACTTGATAAAATGTTTTCAGCTCAGTTACGAATTGAAACGATAGAAAAGATATATTTATAGTTTCTAATACTCGGGACACGAGTTTAGAAAGTTTCTTAGTGAAGCAACTTCTGCTGAAAGACAAATAACAAATCTAAAAATGCAACTTGTTTTTGCTTTGTGTGTCTTAAAAATAAATCGTTTACATTTCTAAACATTAAATTTCGAATCAATTATGTAATTATTAATGCAACCGCTTTGAAACTTTATTTTTGGTTTGCACCAATTTATTATTTGCTGACCAATTTATTTGCCGTCTTTACCATGTTTCTTAAACTACGAAGATAATCTTTTAGTTTGTAAAATCTGATCAATAGCTTGAAGCGTTTCAGGGAGTAAGTTTTTCAGGGTGGTTTTATTATTTTGCGCATGTTACCTTTGTCTTGCTGTCTTTTATTTCCAGTAAATAAAATATTAACATTTCTTGACAAAAAGTGTTAAATTCAATTTAAAAGAGCTTTGAGATTTATTATGATTTTGAATTAGAGCTAGAGATTTTGCTCTAAAAATAAATATATTATATATATATAACTAAATAATAAACTGTTGTTTGTTATTTTTTACTTATTATTTCCCCCCCTTTTTCATATGTCTATTATTTTTCTTTGTTTTATTCTTCGTTATGAACTTTANATGGGTACACCTGGAAATAACAACCCGCCACGTGGTGAGTCAACGATAAGAAATGGCGACATAAATAAAATAAACAATTTGACACTAATTCCGATCATTTTCTTTTGTAAGAAATATTTCTATAATGAGCATCGAATTCTTTTGGACGGTGAAGTCAAGTCAGTATGTTAAACTAAATATTGGCATATATTTACATTGGTTCTGTTGTTGAATTAACTTCTTGTTGCCGTAGATTATTTGTAATATGAATTTTAAAAAATAAAATGTAATGCAATCCAAACAAAGAAAAAAATGAGCCAAAAATGACTATTAAATGAATAAGACGTATCGGTAATGATAATCGAAGCATTAGGTTCGAGGAGAAAGTTGCTGCGATGGAGTCAACCGGACACTGGTTACTAACTGAAAATTTAAATCTTCAGGTATAACTAATTGGGTTAAGGAAAAAAATTATGTTGCTCATAACTATGATTTCTGACTTGAAATAATGACTGTTTAATATCTGTTTTAGTATAAGCATATATTCAAATCTACATTACTTTAATATTTTAAATTTACCATCAAAAACTTCAAACGGATTATTTAATATTCACATTTAATTTTTTGACAGCTCTTGATGTTTTTATAAGTTTTTGACGTTTGTCATGCCCAAAACCGAAAATAGGTTTTTTTAAATCTGAGTGGGATCTAATTTTTGATTGGATGGAAAATCGCAGGACAACTGTATGCCCTATTAAAATAGCTATTTAATTTTTAACTAATTTCCATTAAAAAATTTCCATTTAAAAATTTATAAATATCTTTAATCAAATATTTTGACAGTTTCCAATCCCAACAATTGAAAATTAAAATATGTCAACAATGATGCATTTATTAAGAAAAACAATTGTCGATACATAATTGTTAACAATGGTGATGGTTTTTACCAGTTCTAACAATGCTAACAAATAATATCAATTGTTACAATAGTTATGTTCCAAAAAAAAGTGTCATTCTTGATTGAACTGCTATAAAAAGAGGTTTGATTAAGCGCTTGATATATTTCAAAATGCCTTTTGGTGTAAAAAAGTGGATAAGAAAGCAAATGTAAGTCAACTTATTTCATACTTAATCATTTAATAGGATATTAATTTTAATTAAAGTCAAAAAAGTAAATAATAAGAAATAAACAAATTTTAAAAAAATTAAACTGTACATGTTTTATGAGTGTTTAGTACTTGTTATAGTTAACATAATTTTGCTCTACAATATTACATCTGTCATTTGGATTTCGAGTTGCCTTTATTTTGCAACTAAAAGCAAAGTATTAAAAATTATTTAATTTAAATATGTTCTTATTAGAAAAATTATTTTTTAAGATTGTCTGATTAACTCTCCAAAAATAATTAAATTACGTTCATATTAATGAAATTTATTTTTATTTGCAGTATCTGATTTTCATAAATATAGCCATGAAATAACAATGGTTAGGGTGTAAAGTCAGGAACAGTTTAATTTAGTGTCAATTTTTGGTAATAGCTTACAATCGCTTTAGGCGATTTGCAAATAAATGAATATATATACAAATCACATAAAGGTTAACAAAAGTTGAGTTGAGCCATAGGCGACGTCATTAAAAGCAAAAATTGCAAGCATAACCTGGTAACAAGAAATGTGATATCAGCAAAACTGGACTAAAATTATCGCCAAACCAAGGAGCCACCGACTCTACACTAGAACTTTGTTGATGGCCCCTTCGAGTTACCGCAAGTTTTATTTACCCCTATGTGATTGGTTCTTGTTTTACTTTCATATATATTAGTTTATTTTTTATCACAAAATGAAGGTAAAGTCCCCGATTGCAAGCTTTTACCATAGCGACTATGAATTTTCAAGTATAAAGATCAACTAGCATAGAAGTTTATTTTATAAACGGATGGATTCAATAAAATGTTCCAAAATAGTATTACTGAACTCTTACCAATTCAGTGATATCTTTACTCGATGAGCAAAAGAACATGAAATTTGGCACTAATATCTGTCTGTAACATTACTTTCAGCATTAGTATCGTAGTGCCATTTGTTTTAGTTCCACAGTAAGGCACTCGAAATGAAATTTAAAGAAGATAATAGGTTGGTTACATTCCAGTCTTAGTTGAAGATAATCAATCTTAGTTGAAGATAAGATTGCAACTGGAATCGGATTCGTGAGATAAGCTGAACTAGAAAGAGGCAAATCAGCATTATCGCAGGCGGACAGAGAAAAGAATTTATACGCCGTTATTATTAAAAGCTTTAAAGTAAAATTTAAATAAAAAGGTATTTGAAAAGGTATTTTGACAGAAAAGGTGTCTGAAAAACATTGAATTGTGAGTTACCCTTAAAACCGGCTCAGTAGTTAAATGTTTTTATTTCTAACAATTTTTATACTTTCTTCATAACATTTATTTAAGATAGAGAAGATTGAAATAATAGTTTTATTGAGTAAAATCGATGATAAATGCCCGTGTTTTGTTATTTTAATTTTTCTTTTAGAGTCAACGTCAAAAGATCTGGCGTTAAAAAATATGGCTATTTGAAGGAAGATGATGGAGTGGTTGAGAAAAAAAAGGGGAAGCCCTTCAACCACAAATCATACTTCAAAGATGTTGTCTTGGACAACTATGATGTGATTAAACCCTTCGTGGGGAGAATTGGATCAGAATATTTGGATCTCAATTTGGCTCAGGTAATTTAATATTGCTTGCTCGTATCAGTAATGCTTATTTTATATGTAATTTATTTTTATTTCTTGATTCCATTTTTATAAATCCAAACAAATAATGGCAATTTTTTTTATTCTACTTATATGCGTGCAAGCAACCAAACATCTTTAAACCAACTAGAATCGTAGCATTAGGCATTAAAAAATAAGCCTTCGTGGGGCTAGGGTAGAAAAATGGTAATGAGGCTTGCATAGATTGTTTGATTTAAAAGTTAGCAACATCAGTTTTTTTTTCATTTTCAAATCGCAATGATACTAGATCGATATAAATAAATTGAAAGTTCTTGAATGCACTGACTCAATAAGAGTTAGATTTTGTGCTAGTCAAGTTTCTTTTTCCTTTAAAAAAAGTAAACAAAAACAGTGTTGTGCGCAATATTGGTAGGGTAGAAGTTTTTTTTATTGTAAGTTTCGAGATTATGATGTTAAATTTTTAAGAAACTGAAAAGGATGTAGCTCTTCTAATCATAAATCTTTCATTTTTATTCAGAAAAACATATTTTTTAAATCTCAAGAGATAAGATAGTTACCAAAATTTTTTCGTCAGTATCTGGTAAAACGACCAAGACTACATTTCACTACGCATCTAAAGTTGACATTACTACCAGCAAAAAAAAAATAAATAAATAAAAAAGGAAAAAATTCGAAAAAAAATCAAATAAACCAAATTAATTTTCAAATGTATCATAATCGTGCGTTCGAAATGGTCTTTTTAGTATAGTGAAGTAGTATATTTTTAATACCTTCTTCTATTACAATTTAGAATTTTATTTAGTGCATGTCAACATTTCTTCTCCTATAACGCTTACACAGAAATTAATTTCATTTCATCCAACTTTTTATTAATTCCTTATTTAAAAGTTCAATATAGACTTTTTTAGAGGAAATAGTTAAAAGCAATGTTAGCCTGATCCATTTGGGGGGGGGGTCAATATAAAATTCTTTTAAACTTCCTCACTAGTAAAATTATTTATAGAAAAATTAGGTGAAATTTTATAACTATTTATAATTCCCTTAATAATAACAACCAAGTTTTAAAAACAAAGATAAAGTGTCCATTGCTTCTATAAATAGACCAATAGGTAAAGAGAGTCTATTGGAACCATTTAGACAAAAACTGTTGAGTTTTTAAAATTTTACTTTTTAAAAATTTGTTTGCATATTTTTTCCATTTTAAAAATCTATTAACTGAATTTAATTTTTTTAAATTAACGCAGATCTATTTCAAACTGAATTTTATTTTTTTTCTAAATTTACGTAGATGTACTTAGATTTATATTTTTGTGACAACGATGCTATTTCAAGAGAATACGAAAATGTGATATGCTGTTACATTTTCAATCTTTTGTTTTGTTTTCAATCTTTTTCTTCGGAAATTTTTCATTTAAACCATTTTTTCATTATATTCCTTATATATGATCTGTGAATTGATAATCAGCAATTTTTATTTATTTTTTACTTTTCTACAGCCAGAAAATCTGGATGCAGCATTCTCCGGTGATCCTAATGACACTGGCAATTCCGAGGTCAAAAATGATCCAAATAATTGTAAGGACTAAACTGTCCATACTGAGAACGTCAATACTTTCTTGGACATTTTCAAGAGAAATGTGAAGAAGTTTGACGCCTAATTTTTCTGTGACATGAGCCCCTAAGTGGGTGGACTCTTTATTTGAAATGGACAACTTTCCCGACTGTGACAGAAAAACTTAAAGATATTGAAGGACCGTTGATTATAGTGTGAAATGAGCCCCTAAAAGGGTGGACTCTTTGTGTGTGACATGAGCCCCTGAAAGGGTGGACTCTTTTTGTGTGACATGAGCCCCTAAAAGGGTGGACTCTTTTCGTGTGACATGAGCCCCTAAAAGGGTGGACTCTTTTTGTGTGACATGAGCCCCTAAAAGGTTGGACTCTTTTTGTGTGACATGAGCCCCTAAAAAGGTGGACTCTTTTTTGAAACTGAAAACTTTCCCGACTATGTCATGAAAATTCAAATATTTTGAACTACTATTGATTAATGTGATATAAGTCATAATATTGATAAAAAAAACAAAAAAAAATAAATAAAAAAAAAAAAACTAAAAACCTTGTTTCATTATTGATCTGCTTTATGCATTGCTTCACATAACATAAAACCCTAATGTTTTCCTTATACATTCTTTTAAGGTAATAAACGTTTCCTCTAGTATTTAATGATTGTGTTGAATTTTCAAAATTATATCGTTAAAATTGTATAAAAACAATTGCAAACATTTTAAGGTTATTAGTATTTTGTGGATTAACCAATTTTTACACTGGTGGCAAACTGATGTCATGTCTGTTAGCATAAATTTTTCACAATTTTTTACATGATTGAAGTTCGTGTATGATACTTATGGTAGATATGTATTATACTTTTTTATACATGTTTTTACTTGTTTTTACTTTTATGGCGCAAAATAATTTATAAAATATTTCTAAACTTACTCAACTGGATAATTTACATCGATACTTTTTTAGTTTAAATCAATTAGAATTATTGAGTTTCCTGAATTTTTGCAAAATTGGCTAGTCTCTTACATTATCTGATAATGACATAACAAATTTAATAACAGATATGAAAAATTGAATAACAGACATGACATTATTAGCAGGATTATTTTTTGTAATTTAAATTTGCATACTTCTAACGGCAAAATCATTTTCTAAATAAAACCAAATTTTGATAATGACCCTAATAGAAGTTCCAATCCAATACAAAAAAAAACCTCTTTAAAATTGAAAAAAAATATGATAACCTGATTAAAGTGGCATCCAACTATTAGCATCAAACTTATGCGCCAAGACGAAAATTTGAAAAGGCATCTTTCAGTTGTATATATATATATATATATATATATATATAGCTATTTATTTGGGATAGTTTTACTCATTTTAGCTTACAAGATCGAAATTTATTAATTTACACTTCAATATTCTTTGTTTCGAATTAATGAATTTCGATCTTGTAAAGGCTAAAGGATAAAATTTCCCCGAACAAAAATGAAAAAAATAGAACATTTATATTTCGTCATTAACTTTCAAACCCCTTAATAACCCTTAAAACCATTAACTTTTGAAAACCTTAACAAATAAGATAAAATTTTATAAATTTTTTTAAAATTTATAAAATTAGTTTTTATGGAAAGAGTTTAACATAATTATAAACTTTAAATACAATGAATCTCATGGTCGAACTATATTTATTTCTAATGATGTTAGCAAAAATTTAGGGAAAATTAAACTGATAATGATTGTCACTATGAAGAAGAGAAATATTTTGATTTTGCTTATGAACATTGTAAACATATTATTACTGGTAAATTAAATATAATAGAAAGCTTGGAACTTATTAATGTAATGATAAAAAGCACAAAATTTAGACCAATTGGCTATATACCAATTAAAAAAAATTCTAAAATACTTTCATCATGATCTCAATAGTTTTTGTTTTAAGATAACAAACGTAATTCTTTGTATCTTTATTTATGTTAACGGAATGGATATTGGCTGTTTATTATTACTTGAAAAAATAAAAATTTAAATAACAGTAACAATTCAGCACAGTTTAAAAAAAATTAAACAAAGCCTTTCACCAGTTTGAAAATACGGTGGCTATAATTACGAGAGCTGCTGAACGAGATTTGTTTAAAAAATAGAATAAAATTTGACAAGAAATAGGCTATCCTGGATAAGAATTTGAAACAGAAGATATTTGGCCTAACCTGTGGTATCATACCAAAAGATGATGATTTAATGGGTTGATTGAAAATTTTTTAGTTTCATCTGTGGAGTAATTTGCCCATATTAATAATGAATTTCATAATTTGTTTGTAAATATTCACCCACATGACTTCATGACTTCCTAGATTAATCAATACACTTAGGAATCAATTCATCATACTTGATATAGCAGCACTAGTTAGACCAAAGGTCTCATGTTGAAGTTTCCCATCTAGCTACAGCTTATTTTTTAATGTCATCTGTCTGTTCTTAAGCTCAATATCTATAAACTATGATTTAACAGTTTCCGTATTTCAGAAATTTTTCCTTTGAAATTAGTGAAAGTCAAGTCATTACGACAAAATATTCTTTTCCAAAGATTTTAATCTATTTTCGAAACGAGATTGGCTCACTTCAATTGTTAAACGTTAATGTTTTTAATGATATCTAGCTATTTAAAGAAATCACATACTTCGTAATATGTATACATGCACAATATATTAATCAACTAATACAAAAGCGATATACTATTCAATATACAACATCATAGAACAAACAATGTTACGCCGTAGATAAAGTCAAACATTAACCATATATAAATCAGTCATTGTATGATATACATTTTCGTTGCATAAAAAATTACATCACCAATAAAGCAAAAAATTTAGTTCTAAAAATCGCATTGAACAATTTTCTTTGCTCAATTTATTTATCAGTAAAATACTTTTTTTTTCTTATCATGCCATTATAAAGTACATAAACTTCACAAATGTTCAAAGAAGTAAGAGTAAACTTTATGTTCTCTTAAGCGTCAAGTAAGTTATAAAAATGATTTTATGTCTTCTAGATAGTTAAGATAAAAGTTTCCGGCAGAAATATCAGCAACTTTGGAAGCAGTTCAAAGTTATAAAACAAATTTTAATTTACTTTTACGAGAAAAATGTTCTAACAAAAATATTTCAACTTATCACTATAAAAGATTTAATTTTAGATACGTTTTTTTTATTAAAGTTAAAAAGAAATAATACCTTTGTTCTGGTAGAAAGATTTGTGAATTAACCGAAAATGATTTTTAAATTGATAATGGAATCTTCAATATTTCGTTTGGACACTAATGTTGATTTAATTGTTTGTTTTTCTTCTGTTTTCAGCAATTCTCTTTGTAGAAAATACATTGCTTTCTTTAATTTGTTTCCCAGCAAAATCAGTTACATCACTGTTTTTACTCTATAGAAAATTCATGTCGAACCGTATTTGGAATCGATTAAACATTTCATTCAGCTAAGTGTACTCTCAATAATCTTTTACCATCCGGAGAGTCAGTCATTCTCGTCAAACTCATTTTCATCCCCCATGTTAGCCTCACAAATTGGAGCAAAAGAATACCAACTAGCTTTGCGCAAAATAATGTGACAAATCTCTTCTTCTCTCACTCGTTTCTTCAAAAGATTGTTCGTCACAATTTTGTGAACGGTACTCTTAGGAACGTTTAGTGTGTGAGCCACAAACGGCGGTTTTGGCTAAAATTTATAAGTGTAGCTGACGACTATTGTATTTTTGTCCATATTGGGTCTTCCAGCACAGGCTTAATCTCCGCAGCTTTAAGAACAAAGTAATTGTAACATCAGTATACTTGATGTTCCGCTAAACAATAATCTACAAAAACCATCCTTATTATGTAAAAAAGTTTATCCTGACTTGCCGTGTTTTCCGCAAAACTTGATCATATTCCTTAGCTCCAATTTATGAGGCTAGAACTATAGAAGAAAACAGGTTTAACGAAAATGACAGTCTTTACTCTCCTGATGGCAAAAGATGGCACTGTCAGCACGCTTTTATCCAACTGTCTTCCCATACACATTGAAGCAAAGGAGCTTACATATCTTCACAAATTGGAGTGAAGGAATATCACCAAGCTTTGTGCATAACAAGACATGTCTGCAGACTTCAGGATAAAATTTTTTACATAATAAGGAAGGCTTTTGTAGATGGTTGTTTATCGGAACTTCAAGTATACTGGCGTTACAATGCTTTTTTCTATGAAGCTGAGAAGCGATTGTTGATGAAGATCGTGCTGGAAGACCAACAACGTCAAAAAGATAAAAGTAGTCAATAATTATTCACTGATAATTCTTAGGAATGCTTATATGGCCTGCACATTAAACATTCCTAAAAGTTGCATTGACGAAATTTCGACGAACAATCTTTCGAAGAAAAGTGTGCGGAAAAAAAGCTTTGTCACTCCACCTTTATCGTGACTTTGTAGATTCAAAAGTACCAACGGTTTCCGAATCACTATCTATTGACCTGGCGTTTCTTCCATAGACTTTCTTTTTGTTCCCGTGAATGAATTCCCATGGACGGACATAATTTCTAACACAAAACTCGAAAAAACATTTCGGAAACTATTTATATGGTTCCTTCGCACCTTTTGCGAGATTGTAACGGAAAGAAAAATGCATGGAAAATAGGGACAGTTGATTTATCAACGAAAACCTCTTGGTTGGGTAACTTTGGGAACATTACCAATCGAAGTAACATGATTTGTCTCATTCTATCTAGACACAAACGTCGAAATAGATTTTATGTATTAGCTAGAAAAATAAAATTATAAACAAATGAAATAAAATTTTATGTATAAGACAGACATTGGCTTTGATTTTCTGTCGTTTAAATTTATAACCAATACCAAAAGCCATCATATAAACGTTTGATCAATCACTTTGGACTCCTTGCCGCAAAAAATGTGACCCTAAATTTTATGCAGAATTGATTCCCCTATTGATTTGCGTTGATAATTCCAGAAACATGACGTACGTATGCCGCAAATAGGATAGGTCATGCAATGCAAATGTAGAAAAATATGCAAAGCGGTGTGAACCCTAAAAGATATCAAATACGCAATGCATGCATAGTACTTTGTATTTGTACCTATAATACGAGCTTAATTTATAGTTATTACCAGCTAATTTTAAATACTTTTTTTTAAAGTTTTAAACTCACTTGAGTAATCCTAGAGATACGGTAAATATGAAATACATATATAACAAAATGTGCATAGTAGTTGTAGTGAAATATGCCAAGCGTGTTATAGTAATGCCCAAAAGGTAATAAAAAAGTACGTTTTTTTGCTGAATTTTATAAAATAGTTCAGAGTTATCACTAGCTAATTTTAAATCCTGCCTTTTGAACAATTTTATTTGAATTTTTGTGCTCCAAGATTTG